GGCGTAGTTGCGCGAGTAGTTGTAAACGTACACAGCTATACTAAGAAACATTCGAAGTGCCTTAACGTCGACTGGCACAGGCCAGTAGCTGATCGCTTTGATCTTTTCTGTATCAGTTCATACGCCGTGTATATCCACTATGCAGCCAAGAAGCGGTATTTCGCTCGCTGCAAATGTATACTTCTTGAAGATCGCAAACAACTGATGCTCTCGCACTAGTGCTAGAACCTTCCCGATGTGGATTCTATGAACCTCCACGTCGTATTTCCATCCACAGTCCGGCTATGGACAAATACGTCGTCGAACCAACTCGGTGCAAAATCTCGCACCGATCGCAACAGATTTGTAGCACATCTGTTTAATGTTGCAGGTGCGTTACTTAGCCCCTGTGGCATCACTAGCCACTCCCAGAGCATGCCACTGGTGATGCTCAACGCTGTGTACGGGATGTACCGTTCACGCATTAGGATCTGATAGAACGAATACATCAAATCCGTGGACGAAAAGATGGTACTTTTTTGCCATCCCATCCATGATGACGTCCTTCCTTGGGATCGGCGTTTGAGCCGGTACCTTTGCAGTATTCAATTTGCTGAAAGCGTGAACTACCCGCCACCCTCCTGTGGCCTTTCGCCCACAGAAGGTCGGAGAGCTGTGTGGAGAGGTTGAATTCCACACATGACCAGCCGCTAAGCGATAGGCAAACTTCTTATCGATCTCTATGACTTGTTCACGAGGCGATAACCACTTTTTCAGGATTCCAAATCTTTGAGTCGGGTTTCAGTTCGATCTCGTGCCGAGTGCCTTTGTCCTTATGCAACTCCTATGGCATTTTTTAGACAAAAAGCCCTAAATTTTGACCAACTTCTTATGCAAATGATTTGTCTTCGTAGCCTCCCAAGATTATGACGTGCATCGTTAAAATTAGGTCTTCTCATGGACGACACTTTTGCCTATCGATAAGCTGCTAAGAACCCATTTTTTCTAGGCAGATACAACTTCCGAGCGTAAGTAGGTCACGTACATATCCTTCGTAACGAGTTTGAAGACCTACTAGACTTTTCCACTACACAGAACCTACAAGAACTGATTCAGTCTTAGCGTAGGCGCTGTTGCAATCTTCGACGTCAACTTCGGAAGCGCGATCAAATTGTTTTGTATACGTTTCTGCACTTGACCCGTCCTGAACCAAGATATTCGATGTCTCAGTTTCTTCATGGAAACCCTTTTCTACAGGCTGCTGGAGACTTTTTGCCTCAGGTTGACGAGGTCTCGTTACCTCATCAGTAATTGCTTGTGTAGTTGTTTTCTCAAGTACATGGAGACATTGCCCCGTCACGTTTTCTAGCTGTGGCTGCGCTTCCAAAGCAAAATTATCTACGAATCGTCTCTTAAGAAGATTAAGGATCATCGTGTTGCTTAGTGTTATAAATTCGTTGATTCTTTTTTTTGTGTCACCCGCTAGAAAACACCATGTCCCTATCCACTAGACTTGTTCGAGTGTTGAATCTTTCGCGCTGCCTGGCCATCCGTACAGTCGCCGGCAGATCCCTCCACAGTGTTATTGCTTGTCAATATGTGATGTTGTGCAGTAGTCCAAACAACCGTATCTTAAGTGGGGCTATCGCACTCACTCACAGTACATCCTCACGCTTGTGCAAGCTCTAAGGCTTTCATCAGGTGGCCATTTGATGAACATGCAACAGGCATATTCACGGATCGATGCGGCCAGCTTATCCATGGCTGGTATTTTTTGAGCCAAGGCAAACCTCGGATGACCTCAAACTTGTCATCGAAATCAAGTTCGATGAAAAAATTACCATACTATAGTTTATTAGCGTATATTGAATCCCCTCTACGCGTTTCTTCACTGTTAAGAACGCTCCTGTAGCAAGGGACACCGTCATCCTCGGTGGATGATAATACAGCGCTTAACGATATAACGTCTAACATTCTCAAATGAATGGCTATAAACAAAGTTATTCGACACCCCGCAGTCTTCTGATACACGAAGTCAAAAATCCTCTGTCTCATTATTAAAAGTTAATTAGGGGTACTCTACTTCTAAGTACATAGACACTTGAAATGTGAGTCTATAGCAACTATCATCAATACATTTGCAATTTCTCTTGAGGGTGCTAAATCAACAGGGCGCTCCTCCCGTACTGATCCTGACCGTTTTTTACTGTGATCTACGATGAAGTGATTTTGCAACACTACTGGAACCGCGTCTGTTGCCTTTCTTGTCAAATGGTCGAATAGTTCGCGTTTTTCGAGACACTGAGCTTGAGGCGCTACACTCGTAAGTGTAGTGCACAATTTCTGACAGCGATTGCATTCCTGCAATCGCTTATCAGCGGACAAGGGAGGTCTCTTGATCTCAACATAATTGAGGTTCGTTAGTTCTGGACCTCCGACTTCTTGTGGTCTTGAGGGGCGATATGAGCCCAAACTAGCATGAGCATGTTTTGAGCTCAAGGCTTTCTATCTCGCGACTGATACTTGTTTATCTTGCGCAGCCAGTTTTCAGCGGGGCGAGTGGGTCTTGACGGGACCATTGCAAGACCCTGCATGAACACAGTGATCAGTGTGTTTTTATTAACCGGGTTGGCCGTATTTTAGCTCGAAAGGAGTGTAATGTATTGGGATAAGTGTACGCTTCACGCCTGTCTTGCTTGAGTTGCAAAAGCTCTGACCTAGCCCTAATGCAGTCCTTGGCGGCTCGAAGTCTTTTTGAGCAGAGTCTGGAAGGCCTTTAAGGACCCCTGCACGTTTGGATCGTGCAACCTGAGCTCCGATTCACAGATTTGGCACGTCCGGCCAGAACGATTGAGCAAGTGCGACTTGCATCTGCTCACCGGAGATGTTAATAGCCCTCATGGCGTCGTCCAACTCGTCAAACAATGTTAGCAGGGAGTCTTTCTTGACTCTTCTGCACTTCGAGATATCTTGTTTTACACTTCGGGTAGACGCGCGTGCGTCGACCCGGTAACAGCATCATGAGCCTGCTGCTGATCTAACAGCTCTGCTTGCTGAAAACTTGCTAGTGAAGCAAAACTCCTATTTTCTGTGGCTCATCAAGTTCATTTGTAACAATTTGGCAATTACGGTAACAGGTTGTTACCGTTACGCTACTTGTTAGAAAGTCATTTCAAATTTACTACACTTGGCTACAGTGTGTCGTAGTCCTACTCTGCTAAAAAGTGGGTACAGATCCATTAAAATCCAATAGGATGCTACTTTTAGTTGATTGGCTCTCGTGGCTCAGATGCTACTCGTACTAAGGATGACTTAGGTTAGAATCTCAAATGCATAAATCAGAGTTGAAATTAATTTACAAACGAAACACGCTTACACGTATGTATCTTACACTTCCTCGTAAGACCTTAGTTTAAGTAACGTAACGAGTTCTAGTCCTGTTACAACTAGTAGACCTTCGTAGTCCGTCTAGCGACGTAGGTGAGCCCCAAGATACAGGGCACTGCAAGTGGGGTGTTAGATCATGACGACTTTCAACATTTCACTACAATCGAATGGGAATCACTGCGCCGCTTTGAAGTCGTGGCTGCATCAGTGCTGTGGTTGCCGTGCTAAAGGACACGCCGGAGCACCTCCAGCGTGTCACGATTTAAGGCTTTGTCGACCGTGAGCTCGCTGGTTTGCGTCGGCAAGCCTCAACTACCACGGTCGTCAAGGTGTCAGAGGTCGTCGAGATAGACTTTTCTAGCTACAGCGGCGAGGGGTCGAAGCGCCCCGCCCTCAATTGCTGGCTAGGCGAGATGGATATTGCGATTTAAGCTCGCTAAATCACGTTTGAGTTCTCGCGTACCCAATTCCTCCTCTCCAAGCTGACGGGGGAGGCGAAGAAGTAGGCGCTCGGCAAGCTTGTCGCTGGTCCAGGGTGCTCCCTGGATCTTAAGGCCCTAAAGGATGATTTTCGCCACGCGGTTGGGCCCCAGCAGGGTGAACATCACCGATCGGATTTCCTTGCTATAAAACAAGGTTGCCAATCGATGCTGGATTGCATCCAAAGTGCTCTACACTTGGTGTCGTAAATTGACACCGATTCTAGATTTTTCGCGACTTAAGTCCACGTGTTCATTTTAGGCATAAAAGGTGGTCCTCAGCCTTTTATCTGACGCGGAAGCCTCTGTCGTCGCTTGAAGAAGCGTTCACGATAGCATAACGTAAAAAGTAGCGTTATAACCTCGCACATGGAACATTTGTCGTACCTTCGTGCTGTTCAAGAGCTTAAACCTATGGAAATCGAAACCCTTGATCGCGTCCTACTCGCGACGTGTTGTAAGCCACATGACTTAAGAACCCGTGGCGACGTGTCAGTTTATCTCATTCCGTTGTCGCAAACCTGGTCACCGCGCGGCGGTATGCCTCGCGCCTTCGCCTATGCTCGCTGTCACTGAGTCTGTCACCCCTAATGAATCGGCCACACAGCCAAGATCAAGGGAAACGAGTAGGCGCAGGTTGTCCTACTGGGCGAAGATGGAGAAACGTGCCCCAGTTGGCGACACTTTCCACAAGCCCCTTTGCGCTTCACGCGCAGCTTTACGCCGCCTCGTCAAGCAGCGACAATCGACTGATCGTGCTCAGCGCGCACGCCGACATCGCGACGCGCCCGCTTCGAGTGCTGCTAGACTTGGGCGCGACTAACAACTTAATTCGCGCCAAGTGTTTAATGATATTTTTCTCGCGGATGCGTGTCCGCGAGCCTCCAGAAACGGTGATCGTCAAGCATGACGATAGAAAGCCGATGACACACCGACAGCGGTCGGTTGTCCTCCTTTCCCAATTCGACGGCTTTGCTAGTTGTGACGATTTTCAAGACATCAATCTCGGCGGGTCGTTTGCATGCATCTTTGAAATGCCGTGGCTTGAACGGAATCGTCCGGACATCGATCGGCTCAATAGCACTGTCAATCTATGCGATATCTATGTCAACGCTGTGCTCGCGGTGCTTACTGATCCCACGAGCATCCGAAAGCATGTTGCTGTCGTGGATCCTAGCTCTACGATCTCTAGTACCCGCGAAGCGTGCGATGGCCCTTCGATCGCGGTACACGACACCGCGACATGCTCCCCTCAGTCGAACAGTCGTTGCTGAGTCAAGAATCTACGCTGAGACAGTGGTCTTTGGTCTCAAACGGTCGAGCAACAGCTTTCGTGTGCGACAATTAGACTTGTATCGCACCGAAGCAGAGGTATTCGGTGCGTCACGCGCGAGCAGCTGCTCCCGTGCATGTGAACACCGCGACGGGGCAGATGCCATCCTCGCGCGTACTTAAGTTACAAACCTCAATGGAGCAGGGGCTCCGGTGTGTCGCGAGCGAGAAGTGGCTCCCGTGTCCGTCCAAGACGAAGACATTTTGCCGAAGCAGGCTCTTATGGTCATTGTCTCCGAAGCAGTAGCTGCTGCTACCACATTCGATCGCCCGGTTTGAGCTTCAGTGTCGATCCGCCGTCGGCTGAGACGGACCCCGGCTTAATAAACTCCACAGGTTGCTATGCTCACTTCACTTTTATCGGTCGAGACTATTAGGTTGTCAATCTGACAGATCTTGGCCATAAGGGTTGCTTACCTCCCCTTTCTCCGCGTCTACTTTCACGCATCTCGCTGAAATTGGTCGAGATGACTTGCTGCGTGACATTAAAAAGGGGGTTTTCGAACAACCATGTGTTTTCGTCCGAGACCCGGCGTTTGACAACCACGATCGCCCCGAAGAAATGGAGCCGAAATCGGCACGCGACGAGCGCTTCGCAAAATTGGGAAGACCTCGCCGCTTCCAACAACCCGGTCCTCGCACTAGCTTGCGAGCTCGCGGATGTCTTCCCTAAAAAAATTTCAGCGGTTTCACCAGCTGATCGCGGCGTACGGCACAAGATTGATCTCGTGCCAGGTCGCAAACATTGTGTCACACTACAATAGACACTTCCACGGGATAAAGTTGAAGCAATTAACGCCTTCTTTGAAGGGCGTCAGGAGACAGGCCATGTGCGCAAAAGTACCTAACTTCATTCCACCCCACGTTCTGCATCAAAAAAGCAACAGGCGGATGGCGGATCGTCCACGCTTACAACAAGCTGAACGACGCGGCGATTACAGCCCAGGCTTCGATCCTTCGCAAAGACATGGTGCTCGACACCATGTCTGGAATTACCATCTCCTGTTCGCTGGACCTCACGGACGGCTTTTATAAATTTTGATGCGCCCTCTAGATTTCCGTCTCCCCGCAGTAAGCACGCCTTGCGGCAAGCTGTGGGAATGGCTCGTGATGTCACAGGGGCTCAAGAACGCCTTTGCTACCTATAATAGGATGGTGTCACTTGTGTTGCGCTCACTTCGCGACTTCTTTCTAAGCTACTTCGAAGACATCTTAGTGCAAAGTCGTGCCGCCGCCGGCACTACCTACCTCGCGGTCCACCTCGGACACCTTCGTCAAGAATTCGGAGCGATGCGTGAGAACAAGCTCTACGCCTGTTTTAATAAACTGAATCTTCTGTGGACCAGAAAATACTGGATTTTGGTGGCCACGTCAGCGCGAAAAGGGTTAGCGCTGGACCGGAGAAGATATCATCGATCTGCTAATGGCCTGTTCCACAAGAGCAGATATGTTTTGCCGATGGCTGTGTCCAGCCAACTACCTACATCATGATGCCAAGAACTTTGCCGCTGAGATGTTTCTATTGTCTCAACTGTCGAAGTAGGATGCACGTGGTTGTGGCCTCAGGAGAACCAAGATGCTTTTGATGAGATCAAAAGAAGACTTTCTACAGCGCCATGCTGGCGCTACCTGATTGCTTTAAACCAATTCATTTGGTATGCGATGCGAGTGAATTCGCAATCGGATGATCTTTCATTTAACGTGACAGCGAAGGCACTGAACGAGTGATCAGCTACCATTCGCGCCAATTGAAGCAGGCGGAACGCAATTAACTTGTACATGATAAGGAGTTGCTGGCTATGAGATATGCTCTCGTCATGTTTCGCGTATACGTGTTGGGCGAGCGGACGCTCGCACTATACACCGTTCATGCCTCTTTGCGCACGACAACAAAGAGCCCCCATCTCAGTCAGTGCATGGCGCGCTGATTGTCGTTTTTCGCTGAATACAACTTCGTTGTTCATTACAAGCCTGGTTCATGTAACATCCTCGCCGAAGTTTGTCGCGTCGGCCTGACTATGATCGGCGTTCTGCCGTCACAGTGCCTGCTTGGACCGATGACGTTGACGTCGAATGTGTTGCTTGTGTCGCACTCGGGGTGAACGCGACGCGGGTTTCTTTAGCTAACCCTCTTCGAGTCGACTTCGCGGCAGCTTACACACACTATGTCTTCTACGCATTGATTTTTCATACTGTCGTGACCCGTCTGAAATGACTCTGCGTGATCTCGCAGCGTCGGCTCGAGCACAGATTTTGCGTTACTCACACAACTGCGACTTGGATCGATCAGTTTGACCCTCCTCGCATCGTCGTTCCTCTTGACGACGATCTACGTGCTCGTGTTCTATACGATCACCACGACAGTGCGACCAGTAAGCACTTGGTTCGCGAGAAGACATATTTGTCCATGTCTCGTACGGTACGGTAGCCCCACACGTGTATGTGAGTCCGAAAATGGGTTCGCTCAAGCGAAGTATACAAGCCTGTCAAACCGAGTCCTTCTTTCCATGATATTTTGTGCTCGCTACCAGTGGCGACCGAGGCATGGAACTCTGTCAGCATAGACTTTATCGTTGGTTTCCCGCCGGTGCGCAAGCGCGCGCCGGCACTTTTGTAATAGTTGACCGCTTCAGCAAGATGGTGCTTTTGCTCCTGTCGCTGCGTCCATCAGCGCAGAGGACACGGCGACGTTGTTCAACGTCATCGATTTCAGTCACCATTGTCTGCGTGCAACTATGGTCTCTGATCGGTTTCCTCGCTTTACAGCTGCGTTCTGGTCGCAGCTGTTCTCCCTCGAGACCACGCGTCTATTGATGCCTAGCCTACGGCTGCCTATGGGTCTACCTGATATCTCTACACTTGGTAGGGGAGGAAAACCAGACGAACTGGCATCGAGTGACAGTGCACCATCGACGACGTCGCGACCTTGTGAACGTGGCGACACTGCAGGCAAAGTGGCGTCTGCTGAAGTTACAGCAGCGACCGCGTGGCAGGTGATCATGGCGACCCTACGGCTGTGTCTGTCACTGATGGACTGACATTATCAGTTTTTGAGACAGCAGTGAACACTGCTCAGACTTGCTCATCCACGTGAGTTAATTATCGACCACTGAATGTCGACGACACGACTCGGTGGGTAAGCGAGTCTTTAACCAACCCTACGCGCCGTTCAGACCATTTCAGACGCTCTCAACGAACATCAATTACATGACTCGTGCTCAGACGCGTCGCCGCCGAGCGATCGTCTTGCTGACTCGGCGGCCCTTAAAGCGTTTGTTTAACAGCGTCAATTTGTCACGCGTTATGTGCGTGACGGCATTGCAAACGCTGTCAATAAACAGGTTGCGGCCTTTGACAAGCACGGTCGCAAGAATAAAAAAAAGTTCACCATTGTCGACAAGGTACTTCTGTCGACAATAGTCATTCAAGACACGGCCATTACCACGTTGGTGGAAACACACGGGCGCCAAGATTTATTGGCCCCTTTAAGGTGATTACGAGAATGGGTGATGCCTGAACTCTTGACATACCTTCGGCTATGCGACTACATCCAACATGTTATGTCGGGCTTCTTAAGAGGTGTCTCCCGTCGCTACTTTGACGCAGATGGATGTATCGGGGGCGCTTAGCATGAACCCCGATGTCGCGAAGGCCTTAGCGGAACAGGCGGACATTGACCCCTCAATATCACTTCTCTCGCCCTAGCGCCTCGTTTGACTGCTCGAGGCGCTCGAGTCGTCAAGCAAAGCCGGCGACAATAGTCTCAGTCACCAGTGAGCGACTATCCGCTTCCGCTGCCAGGTCACGAGCCTGATGAACGTCGTTGTCAACAAAGTTGACACGACGCTTAAGGTCGCGGAGCTGCTCCGCGACCTCTCCGACCAAGGCGTGCGCCCCCTCCACAGGCGCTGCAGTCATGTGCGCCTACAGCGCTACGGTCATCCTTCACTGGTTGATGGATCCGGAATTTTACGCTAGATTGTGTAGCGCATTGTCGATCACCTCGTCCTACGGGTGTCTTCTCGTCACGGCGACCATCGCTGTGACGCTCATCACAAACAACTGGATACACGACTGTATCGCGTATGCTGGCTCGGCTTCCCTGCTGAGAGTGATTCGTGGGATCCATCTAAGGCGATTCTTAAAGACGTTTAAGACATGTTCAGGCATATGAGTCCGCGGCGATGGAAGCCGCGGCGATGGAAGCCGCGGCGACCGAGATTGCGGAAGATGCACAGTCCGCGATGCAAGGGTACTTGCTGACCGCGATCGAGTACGATGACTCGATCTCACCAAAACTCGCTTAGCCAAGCGCGCGCACGACTGGCCGCGCTGTCAGCATCTGATTTAGCGCTCGCTCGTAGCGCCCTATCCAAGGAAGCTCCTCGTCTGATAGCGGGAATCTAAATAGAATACTACTCCATGCAGCATGATCAGGCTCTACCCCTTCACTTGACGTACACCGTCGACAACCCTCACGATAGTGGACGAATCAGCAACCTCTTTTGGCCTTCGAAGACAAGTCGCAGACCCGCTCGCGCAGGTCAGCGACTGCACGATGGCTTTTACCGACTTATCATCGCTTTACTAGTTGTGGAAACGAAGCCTTCATGTTCCAGCGCGTCTAGAACGCTGTCCGAGATGCACTCAGTAATGATTGGTTCTCGGCGAGTGTGACCGTGACGGGCTTGCCTTGCGTCGCTCTCCATCACCGCCATATCTGGCACATCTCGTCGTCGCTGCGTGCGCGTCGGATGCAAGTACAGTCGTAGAGCCTCCACGCGTGCAGTGATTTAACGATCGTGGTCGCGCCGCTTGTCGAAGTGTCTGGGTGTTCGCGCGTTCATCGTTGTCGCCGGCGAGCTGGTCGAGGCGACGCGAGCATCTGTTGCTGAAGCTTAAAGGCATGATGCTGTGAAGCTGTCAAGTCGAAGTTGTCTTCACCGTGACGTGGGCGATGATGGAGATATGGTACGTTTTCGTTTCTTTTGTTTTGTTCTTCCGCACGTTAAGTGGGATTTTGAGTGGGGTGGCGAAACGGGGTTTTACCGTTACACTTCTTGTCAAAAATTCATTTCTAAATAGTATACATTGATGTATACCCTCCCAGGTATAAATATACATAGTAAGTATACACTGTAGCCAAGTGTAGTGGCTATAGTGTGTCGTCGTCCTACTCTGCTGGTTAGTGGGTACAGACCCATTATTAGCCAATAGGATGCTACTTTTAGTGAGTGGCTATCGTGGCTTAGAGACTACTCGTGCTAAGGATGATTTAGGTTAAAGTCTAAAAATGCATAAATCAGTTTTGAAATTAATCTTCAAACGAAACACGCTTACACGTGTGTCTCCTACACTTCCTCGTAAGACCTAAATTAATTTACGTAACGGATCTAGTCCCGTTACAATTACGGAATGCTGCCGATCTCAAAAAGTGCGGAAAGCATTGCAGAGACAGCATTTTCGCTCACAGTCGAACCCTTTCGTCGACAGCACGACATTCAATGTCACTCAGATAGGTGTAGTTTTCACGGGTGTCGTGAAAATTTCGTCGACTTAAGCATCCACCATGTCCATGTTGGATGTAGGGGTTGCGGTACTCGGACGGACTTCGAAGTGTTTCCGGTGTAACGTGTCACTGGTCACCAGTACTACTTTAGCGATTGTGCAACTAGACTGTTTTCATTGTAGGTAGTGGCGCGCATCACTTCACTTACACCGTACGTAAAGAGGAAGGCTAAAATATGGTCGAAGCGCTCAAGATTAGTCCATGGTAAATATCAATTGAATAGAATAGTGTCCTAGATACATGTACCTATGTTTAGTCCTAATGGAGATCTAATTGATCTACGTAAGTGCAGGCTTAAGTCTTTATCACCACTCATTGCGTGCTTCCATCATTGATTGGACCGCTAGAGCTGGCTGATGTGATGACTTATACTAACTATTCGGTAAGTGGATCTTTATATAACCCCACTGGGAATATTTTTCGAACGTTATCATTCTTTATTATCCTAATGTGATTAACAAGTGCCAAGGGTTCGTTACAAGTAACAGGCTCAATCCGGTTCAGAGACGAATGTGCCAATTTTTATGAATTACCCGTATACGACAGCAACCCCCGTGTCGCTGTCCACAGTTAATCTTAACCTGTCGCTCGAGTTCTAGTTTGCTACAATGAGCCACTGGTCTAACACCGTAAAACTCCGAGGGGTTTTACCATGGAAGCTTTCAATTTCCAGTGGATGCCAAAGTACCATCTCTCGTGTCAATCGTGAACACAGCAATAAATCCATGGCCGCGGTTCGACTTGTACAGAAACTTTCCGTTGCTAGACGGGTATATGTAGGCGCTGGTGATGGAATTCGTATAGCCACGAGGAAGCGTCGTAATGTACTGCAACGATTTTGTAAACAACACATCACCCTCTTCGTAATGGGGTAGCTCGTTTAATGATCTTGACACCAAACGGTGTAAAAAATATATTGTCTAGCATGACTATATCCTACCAATGTTATCCAAGCTGGATGTTATTAAAGAAATGTTATTCCCTTTTAGGATAATATTCATGCGCTGCTCAAAGACTATGTAAAAGCCATATCAACCATAGATTACGACCAATCGCTGCTAGATACGAGCAATGAGTGGTGAGCAGGTTGTCGTCATACGACGACGTAGTGTGATATAGTTAGATAAAGATTGAAGTTAAATTGATAGCTTAACTATATTAAATACAGTCCTCTTCTTACCCTTCGCTCAGCTTAGTTGTTGAGTAGATTAGCTCTCTCTGCACGTACTAGTGTACGTGAGGTTTCGTGACACCAGACAAAGGGTGCCCCGTTACACCTGGTAACACTTTGTAGTCCGTCCAACGACTACTTAGTGTCCCTCCAACATGAACATGTTGGACGTAGAAGACGACAGCTTTCACGTCACACGTGAAGTCTACCCCCATCTGAGTGACTCAGAATGGGAGGTAGTCGGCCGCGTGAGTGTTCATATGGGCGAAACCGCCATCAGTGGTGTGTTGGAGTCTCCAAGCAGAGACCAGCAACATGCTGCTATCAACACGTTCCTACAGGGGGAACTTGCCGTCGATAAAAAGAAGATAGCCTTTCTACAACATCAAGTCTCTCATTAGTCGATGGGCGGGCCGACGCACACGTGTCGACCCGAAACCTTGAAGATTGATATCTCAAGGTACAAGGGAACCGATAAAGATACCCATTTGAGATGGTTCGTCGAGTTAGACGACGCCATCAGAGCCCTTCATATCGAGGGTGACGATAGGCAAGTCACCTTCGCCCTGTCAAATTTGACGGGACGAGCAAAGACTTGGGCCTTAGGGCTCAAGCTTCACGATCCAAACGTGTTTGAATTGTTGAAGATCGTGAAGTCTCGGCTCAAAGAGACGTTTGAGCCGCCGAGAGCCGAGTTCAGAGCACAATCTACACTCTTGAGGCTCAAGCAAGTTAAGCGTGACGTGCACGCTTACGCACAGCACCTGCGCTACCTTGCGAGTAGAGTTACGGAAAAACCTGTTGATGAGCACAAACTCATCAACGTGTTCATCTACGGCATTGTAGACGGACCGGTGAAGAGCTACATGTTCCAACAGGACTTCCATACGCTGGAAAAGGCGATAGCGTATGCGGAGCAAGAAGACTTCATCCTGAGACAGTCTCAGGCTAACTCTTCAAACTATCGTCCGACGCGACGACAGAAAACAGGAGGTCCCGAACCAATGGACCTCTGTTACATCGAGAGCAATAAATCTCGCTTTCTGAGTCACAAGCGGTCGGCAAGATGCCATTGCTTAAAGAAGATCGGACACTATGCTAATGCATGTAGATTTCCAAGCACCGCAACACGTCCAAAGACAGGAAGTGATGACCGCCGTTGGCCAAGGAAAGGTACAAGGCGTGGGTCCGATCATGTCGCTAAGCCGCGACAGCAAGTCGAACCGTCAAAAAAGGTCAGCGTCAGTAGGGATGGAGACCATTGCTGGTCCAGCAACGTCAAGAGAATTTGCAGGACTCTTGACAAGATTGCTCCCAACACACGGTCGCTGTGTTACTGCCCCTAGTGATGAGGAGTCCCTCATCACTTTGAAGATCGAAGTGACTAGTGGAATGTCACTTCGCGCCCTAGTTGACTGTGGGGCGTCGAACAGTTTTATTCGATGCCAGTCGCTAGGGGATAGTAGGCTCAACTATGTTGAGCGAAAGTTCCCTCCAGCGAGGATGACGGTGTGTCTTTCTACAGGCGCTTCCGAACAGTGAACAAACGTGTAGTGGGAATCCACTACACGCTAGAAGAATAGCAGTACGATGATGACTTCATCGTGCTAGATGTGGATGACAAATTTGATGTCATCCTCGGCTGCCACGGCTAAGAAGAGACGATTCATAGATCAGCTAACAGCATCCAAGCCGTGAAGATGCCTGCCGTTTGTTCATCAGATGGCCATCTGATGAACGTCTTGGAGCGTCCACAAGCGTGTGGATGTACTACGAGTGAGTGCGATATCCTCAAATTGGGGTACGGTCGTTAGTACAACTGCGCAAGATCGCAGTGTAGAAGGCCACGACAATGTAGAAACAGCTTCTGGTACCTGTGAAGAGACACAGGCTGCGCCAAAGGTTCACCACTCGAAGAGATCAAGTGGACAGGAACACGGATGCACACCAAGAAGGCTGCATCCGAGAAGAAAGATTAGTGTTGTTCAGGATGGACAACACGTTGAAGCGAGGTCGACTATCAGAGAGTCGATCGTAGAGCAAGCCCGATCGACTGAAAGAGAGTCGATCGAAGAGGACGTGACTGTGGTAATACACCCACAGTCAGTACACGTAATTGAAGAAAGTTTGAGCGTTCCTGAGAGTGATAACTCCCGAGAGAGTTATGCTGACGGCGTGTTTCCTCAAAACCTGCGGATGTGCCTGCTCCGGAATGAACCGAGATAGTAAATGTCTAGGTGATTGACAGATCAAGTGTAGGCGCTTGTACACTAGATCGGATTTCACAACCGAATTCATCTTTGGAGGTAAACAAGCTGCCAAAGCTATAATCTAAAAGATTTTTTCGAGATCTGCGAGTGACAAGATCAATCAGATCGGTTTACTTGTCACAGAGGACGAGTACGTCGCCGATGTACGGTCGGCACAAGTGCTTACTTTGAACGAAGTAGTTCTCATTAGCTCACCAGTGCAAGAGTGTGTCCTCGATGAGAATACCCAGATTGAGCGATACAATTCTCAATCTTGGGAGGTGCTTCAGGCAAGTCCTTTGTAAAAGGATTTGATCGAATTCATGGACGGTTGTCCTTGAATTCTTGCCGTGCGAGCTGCCTAAGGATAAAAGAACTTGACATGAGATCGAACTGAAACCCGGTTCAAATACTGTGTCATGAAGCAGTGGCCACTGCCTCGTGAACAAGCACTAGCGATCGATAAGTTCTTTGCCGATCGCTTGGCTGCGGGAAATTTGAGGGAATCAACATCCCCACACAGCTTTCCGACCTTCTGTGTGTGAAAGGCCACAGGAGGGTGGCGGGTAGTTCACGAGTTTAACAGATTGAACGCTGCAACGGTACCGGCTCAAATGCCGATCCCAAGGAAGGACGTCATCATGGATGGGATGGCAAAAAAGTACCATCTTTTCGTCCACGGATTTGATGGAGGGATTCTAATAGATCCTCATGCGTGAACGGTACATCCCTTACACAGCAGTAAGCACCCCCAGTGGTATGCTCTGGGAGTGGCTAGTGATGCCACGTGGGCTAATTAACGCCCCTGCAACATTAAACAGATGTGCTACAAATCTGTTGCGATCGGTGCGAGATTTTGCACCGACTTGGTTCGACGATGTATTTGTCCATAGCCGGCCTGTGGATGGAAATACGACTTGAAGGTTCATAGAATCCACGTTGGGAAGGTTCTTGCACTAATGCGAGAGCATCAGTTGTTTGCGAACTTCAAGAAGTGTTTATTCGCAGCGAGCGGAATACCGCTTCTTGGCTGCATCGCGGTGAAAAACGGTGTACGCGCTGATCCGCAAAAGATTAAGGTGATTAGCGACTGGCCTGTGCCAGTCGACGTCAAGGGACTTCGAAAGTGTTTTGGCTTAGCGGTGTACTTGCACAAGTGCTCGCGCAACGAAGCCGAGATGACCGAACATCTCTCTCGTCTACTGAAGAGAAACGAGAGGTGGTCATGGAGCGCTGAGTGTCAGCACTCTTTTGAAGGCATCATGTGAAGCTTGGTGCAATCGCCTGTGTTGGCGATTGCAGACCAGGATGGACCATTCCATAGGGTCTGTGACGCAGACAATTTAGCAATCGGCTGCGCGTTAATGCACTACGACTCAGACGGCGTGGAGCGCGTCGTCTTTGATCAGTCACGTCAGCTGCAAGCAGCTGAGCGTAATTACCTAGTGCATGACAGGAAATCCTTGCCATGAAATATGCACTGGATAAGATTCGGGTGTATCTCTTAGAAGATAGGCCCCTCATCTTTTATACCGATCATGCGTCGTTACGCACGGCCGTATACAGTCCACACCTCTCTCAACGTATGGCGAGGTGGCTGTCTTTCTTCGCGGAGTACAACTCCTCCGACGAGTACAAACCAGGACGACTTAATGTCATCGCTGATGCTCTTTAGCGTTGGCTCGATTTCGAGACGACTGCTCAACGCAACAATAGGGGTGATCCCACTGTTGCGACACTAACAGTCAGTGTTCCGTCGTCGAATTTGCTCGACGACGTGCAAAGAGCATACGCAGAAGATGAGTCTCTTCTGCGTTTGATAGATTATGTAGCCAATCCATGCAGTCAAGCATTGAAAAGCTTGTCGTATCAATACCGCTCTTCAACCGAACGAAATTCGGTTCGTAGTGGACTGCTGTACTATAAGGCAGTCACCGGCAACACACTTTGTGTCGTCGTTCCCACTCATGATGATTTGCGATTGCGCATCATGCATGAGTGTCACGATGCCACAACAAGTGAGCATCGCGGTAGAGATAAGACTTACCTCATGGTGAGTCGTGACTTCTACTGGACCCGCCAGTATGAGTTTGTGCGCAAACATTTTCGCGCTTGCGAAGTTTGCCAGCGAATGAAGATTAAACTCATCCCGCGCACCCTTGCAGCCTCTCACGGTTCCGGTAGAGTGTTGGCAGTCCGTATCGATGGACTTCGTCTTTGGGTTTCCCAAAGACGCTCACAAGAATACTAGTACTCTACTGTGTGTTGATCGTATCAGCACGATAATACATCTTGTTGCTGTACCGAAGTCAATCACAGCCCAGGGCTGTGCGAGGGTCTTCATCTATACAACCTTCCGACTTCACGAGATACCTTTTGAACTCGTGTCTGATAGGGACCTTCGCTTCACAGCGGAGTTCTGACAATCCGTGTTCCGTTCACTTGGAACACGTTTGACGATGTCAACTTCTGACCATCCAGAAACAGATGGTCGGACGGAACGCTTCAACCGCGTCCTCGAAGAGATACTTCGAGGGTGTGTCCACTCGTTTACGATTTGGAGTTAGTTCTTGCCGATGGCGGAATTCTCCATCAACAACTCGATGCGTGGGTCGATGACGCGTACACCGTTCTTCGTGAATGGCCTACGCCATCCACGTTTACCCGCCTTATTAAAGTGTGACTCTTGTTTAGGGAAGGGGTTCGCTCGCACAAAAGCCGATCTGGTTCTTGCTCATCACCCGTCAAAAATGGTGTCGACGTGATGGATGCCGATGTCGATGCGATCGACATCAATGATGATGATGACGACGATGCTGGTATATTCAGCATCGCCAATGGGCATCGCCAATGACTGCCACAGTGAGGACGATGATGCCCCCACTCGTGAAGCCAACGTTCTTTCAGCAGTGTACATGAAGCGCACTTCCGTTAACAAGGATAAGTCAGCAGAGGATTTTCTGCTGACTCACGAAGCGGTTATCCGCTTCGTTCAAGACTATTTTGCAGATGTACTAGACAGACAGAAGAGAAAGGAAGACAAACACGGAAGAGCAAATGTTCTTTCAATGAATGAAAGAGACCTAGTTTTACTGTCTACAGTAAATCTACCGAAAGACACAGTGCCAAACATAGGCAGCAGTAAATACTGCCCAAGTACATCGGTCCATTTCGTGTGTTGCGCCGAAGGCAACGCACACACGATTGGGCAACGCACACACGATTGAACTTCCCCGTAAGATGCGTGCGCATCCTACGTTTTACGTTGGACGTCCTTACCCGTACTATCAGAACGAGGCAGTTTTGAGAGGCGGAGAACACCTCCGCGGTCGAGAGCCGAGACCACCTTCGAGTGTTCCCGTTTCGACGAGCCAGTCTGGTCGACTAGCGAAGCAACCTGCTCACGCAGTTCAGCGATGTCTCGACGAGCTACAGACAGCTCGTCACGACGAGAACGAGTCGAACGTTCGTTCTCAAGTTGTGCGAACGCAAACGCAGCACGATCATCCAAACGATCGTGCGTTAGGGAATTGTAATTATCCTTTACAAGATCATGGAGTCCATAACGCCGAGTCCGTTCACGAGCCAGATCATCTCGCAAGTGCTCCGTTACACGGTTCAGCTCCTGAACATCAAGTTGATCCGACCCTCGAGCCGGAGCAGGTGTTCCCGTTACCACCACATCCTTTGGTGGACTCTGGCGGTGGTCAACGCTTTCTGGTGGAGTGTATTTGAACCATCGCGACGTGAATGGCATCCGATCAAGATGTCTCTTTCCGCTTGCGTGGCTATCCACCGGCGCGGGACAGCTAGGGACCTCGTGCCCAGCTGATCGCTGATGTTCTGGGTCTCTTTAAACAGTATGACAAGACCTACCCGCTGCGTTCGAAGAAGGGCCGTCGGAAAACGACCTCCCCGAACGCGAGTACAGGGATTGCAAAGTGTCCATCCCTACGGCCATCTCGGAAGAGATGCGCGCCCTCCTGTAGGGATCATTAGGGAGGTAGGCCTCTTTAAAGTGATGTTTCAGGTTGTTTAGGCAATCTGGACACGAATCAACCCACGAGAGATGGGGCATTCCTGCCTCTCTAAAAAGCCGGTGCAGCTTGTATCGCACCCTGACTGGGTTGCGCTTCACAATTCTGATGCGAGCAGCATCAAGTTTACCGAGCCAGGCCTCACGGCCAATGCACTCAATTTAATTGATTAAGGCATTCCATCCTTGCACCAATGCCTTTCCGTCCCGAACAAGGCTGTCATTGTACAACCGGTGTTTGAAAATGCATAGGTAAAGAACTCTTCTGCAGCACAAATAGTTTCCGTGCTGGAATCAGGTGGGCAAATCTTTCTGCAATCGAAAAACATGATTTGATACCGATCAGTAGTCATACCGGCCACTCAATCTACCTCTTTGGAGGACGGCATCCAAGGAGACTCCACTTGAGGAGCGTGGCGCAGGACAATTCGGTCCGAGGCCACTTTATTGGTGCCAGCATGAGCACTGACACCAGTGACACCTCGATCCCTCGAGTTACTTCGCTCGTGGTGATGTATAGGTGCATTACCACCATTCTCACGTGTCCTATCGCTAGTTATACTCGCGTGAGGCGAGGATTCATCGGAACAATCGCACGATCCGAAGATCTCGGACATGATGCCGCCACGTTGACCAGAGCCAGTCAACCTGGCTCTTGCAGTGCCCGCCCCGGGTGATCCGGAGGTGTGAGGTGTCGCCTTCAGGTCGGATGCATCATCCGACTCGCCAGATTTGATGAACTCTATTCCGGACTCATCTAGATTACTATTCGGTGTAACCGCTGCAGACGCAGCGGATGCATCTGTCGCACGTGGTGACTCACCACGTGTACTGTTTACAACAACAGGCGACGAATCACCTGCTGCTGAGGTGTGAGAATTAATCTCTACGGCTGCAAGCATGCTTGTAGCCGCCTTTCTTGCTGCTGCAGAAGCAACTCGCTTGGTTTTCGAATCATGCGTTGGATAGGCAAATGAATGGGATTTGACCAACAAGTGCTCCCTTTTCCTGAGTGATCCAACGGAGGTCACCGTGTCCAATCAATTCTGATTAAATCAACGGGTGATTGATGGTCTAGGGGGGAGGGTGATGTAACGGGGTAGCTCAGTACTTGATAGTGACACCAAACGGTGTCAATAGGGATATTGTCTAGCATGACAATATCCTGCCAATATTATCCGAGATGGATAATATTGAAGGAATATTATCCCCTTTTGATAACATTCATGCGCTGCTCAAAGATTGGTTGATATAAGACAAACTAACCAAAGATTGCCACCAATCGCTGCTGGACGCGCGCAATGAGTGGTGAACAGGTTTTCGTCATACGACGGCGCAGTTTAATTTAGTTCGATAAAGATTGAAGTTAAATTGATAGCTTAACTATGCTAAATACAGTCCTCTTTTAATCCTTTTCTCAACATAGTTGCTGAGTAGATTGAATCCCTCTGTACGTACTGGTGTACGTGAAGTTCGCGGCACACCAAACAAAGGATGCACCGTAACACATAACCTGTGTTCTTGACAGAGGGAGAGTCAAAACCTCTTCATCTACCGAGTTGATGGCGTACATTGCGCGCTGGCCCGTGTTGAAGTTTTTTAAAGCCCTGTACGTAAATCGGGTTTATGCCGATGGGTGTGGCCGTACAAGGTATGAGGGACCTACCGCTCTTGACGAGTTTATAAGTTTAGATGCTATTGCCTGTGCCGTTGATCCCCCTTTCGTCACGTGTGAAGCTGCCTGCAAACAGAAATTTTGCGTCATCGGATTCTGCTACTTACGTGATTTAGTTAAAGCGCTCGTTGTGGCAGCTACAAAGCAGAGAAAGACGCGCGGGAGGTACATATTGACAATTGTCCTGGTACTTCACTTCGCTGGATGCTTGTGCTCGATATTGGAGATCTACGAATTAGCCGGATTGTACAATCCATAAAGACGATAAACTCTCGATCTCGAGTAGAATTTTAAAAATCGCGTTCATCTCGACGTGCTCTCAATTCCACCACTTTCGAAAGTCTTGCAGGTCGTCAAGAATTTTCTGGAAATCGGGGTCGTATCTGAGTATTTGTCGATTCAGTCGCCGGGTTAAGCCTTGTCATACATAACTAGAGGGGTTCAAGGATTACGGCGGGTCGCAATTCTGTCTTTATTGGAGACGATTTCCTTTTCCTGCCTTACATTTAGGATTTTCAGACTGTCTATCATATTTACATACCACTAGTAAGATGTCCGGTTGTGTGGTAACGACCTCGTGTCATCGACCATTTTTGAAACTCCAGCGTTGTCATTCTGCTTACTCAAGATGTCACTCGTCGTCACGACAGTGCAGTCTGCCAGGTCCCATGGAACCTGTCCGTTGTCCAAGTTCGGGTCCAGAAATTTATGTGAACTCTACCGGATGGAAGGGCTGCACTCGCGCTCGAAGCAAATAGATTCGGGGGACAGAGGACGCTTAACCAGGAGTCCTAATACCACTTTAGTAGTCCCAGCGAGCCATCTTTACGATTTTACTGGCCATTACCTCGCAGTAGATTTTTTGCTCTTCAGGTCGGCTCGGGCTCACACAGTCCTTGAATGTTCCCAGACACACCACTAGACGCAGTGCATCTGGCTCGGCGCTACTGTCCATAACTATCGGTACTGGACTCCAACGGAAGTGTATAGATATTTAGAACGTTCTCTTCGTGGGACCGGGCTCATGCTTAGCGAATGTGTCGGCAAGTCGTAGGCACACCGCGAAGAGTAGGAACTTCTTCGTTTTGCAGGGTGATTCGAGCACAGTCGACGTGCCCAGCACTAGGATATCCCGCAGACCGTTTTTTTATCGAGTGGGACGCTGCAGTACCTTCAATATCGCAGACAGAGAGGAGAAAACCTCCAACCCTCTCAAAGTTAGCTCCACTATGGAGGACGTCCCGCCCAAGGAAAGAGAACAAGAGTCCTGTACATCCAAGGGGTCTCGTCTGCGTCCGTTCTTGCAGCTAACTGCCAATTGGACGTGCTTCGCAAGGCTATACGTATTCCTTGGACGACGGTAGATCCCCTAATCTAAAATCCAGCAGCAGTATGTTGTTAGCCGTTCGAGAAAATAGGTCTGTGAGATGTAGAAGTAGAAGTTAAGACTTAAATCCTTTCATTAACAACTTCGCAAAAGCATGTGTCATTTGTAGTTTTCACCAGTTGAGGCATCAATAGCATGTTATAACTATGGCGTAAAACACGATTCCGTCAGGCACACGTCAAATTTGGTTACCGCCACGAACGGTCGTCACAGCCGCAGCTTATATTGCCGACAGATCCGGAAATTGCGAGCCCGAATGGTAGATCTATTTGTGACTGGGCGCACTGTAAACATTACAATTTCAAACCTGCATTCTGTCAGTGTATGTCTTTCTAACTCGTCAAAGGTCTACTTAAATTGTACATTCATATTTGGGTGACGAGCAGATCATTTCTCGAACACTACCCAAGATCGGAGGCGAAAGCTACACCACTTATAACCGATAGTTGCGTGCAAATGATTGATAAAAACAATTTGGTGTATCACTCTTCTTGTCTGCACACACAAAACAGATTCTAATCTATCTCCTTTGCGCATCGTTACCAGAATTTCAAATTAGTGCGCCTTTGCCCACGCCCACGCCCACGCCCACGCGAACTTATAACCATAATTTTTGTGGTCATGGGTGCAACGGATAGTTTTTGGGTGGGATAGGCTGGACGCAAAGTCGCGGGCTAAAATTTATTCAGCACTACAATGTATTATTACGATCCCGAGGGTACAGCTATAAGTGGATGTGCGAAGGGTTGTACGCCAGACTTTTAATCGTAGTTATTTGTGTATGTGTTTGTGTGTGTCCGTAAATAATGTGATCGGTGTAGCTTACCCGTACTAAGTTTGATCTATCCCATCACCCCCTTTGGTATAGCTTTTTACAAATTCTCTCCTTGGCTAAGTCAACATTGTGGTCCATGCTTCTGATTGGCTATAAATTGATTAAACTCGAAATTGATCAAAAAGGTAAATGCTGGACGCTTACAAGCAAATGCTAATCATGTTGCCTAATCAAACTGCACTAATTAATACAGACATTAATAGTGTCGTACTCATACATAAGTGACTGCCGTATGTAAGTTATAGAACTTAAATCTATTCTTTAAATAGATTTACGTAAAGGAAAGGTCAAGCTACACAGCTTGCTCCCCCTTTATAACTTTATTGATTGCGATAACAGGGATTATTTGCACAATGCAAATTTTGAGTACATGTAAGCAACGAATTTAAGTGGGCGTAGGAGAGAAGAGCCCACCCAGGCATTAGGGTTTAATAGCGACTGAATGGGTGCGGGATGTCCCGATTTAAAAACCTGATCGTTACTCAGATGATTTATATGATACAAAACATGTGAGCAAAAACGCTTAAAAATAACAATATGTAAGTGCAATTTGAAAATTAAGCTGGCGCTCGGCTTGACTCATCATACTGAGTTACAACTCGGCGTGATTAGAACTCTGTAAGTATTTAAAAATTACGCTAGTATTCCTCCCTCTTGTAGCTTTTAGCCTTGTAGAGACACTTCCCATTCGATATCAGACACCATTTGTCATATAAATACGGTGGCGTCGTACATGTACTTATGAAAGTTGATACAAATAGTTTGAATCAGCGAAAACCTTATTAAAAACCAATCACTTCACTACCACTCCTAGACTTAACTACCTGAAACCAAAGAAAAAGAGCCCAGGATGACCATTAGAATAGGTCCCATCTTTTGCTTTAAAGCCAAGGTTAGATTTTGTCTGAAGTTCAAAGGCTTGTAGCCATCGCAATTGTATATTTTTTTTATGTGTCTTGCGGAAGCGAGGTCCCTTTTTTATGCTAAATCCATCGATGACTTTTCTCAATCCTTTTGAAGAAAGAGAATCCACAAACAGGTCTTAATGATGAAACTATCCTATGTGCATTGCAGGAGGAGGAGATCAGGATAAAGGAGTTGCGATAGATGAGTAGGAAGTTGCAGACAGATCAAGTAAGTTCGAGAAGATCACGATCTCAGTTATTGATCCTGAGTCGCTTGATCTGTCCAGGGAATCAAAAATCTTACATGCAAGCTACTTCGCAGTCTTCAAACTGATATTTGCGGTGTCACTATTAAAAAGTTAACTTTTATCATTATGTGTGATAGGTGTAATCCCCGAATTAGTTGCAGATTCTTCCTCAATACACTTATATCTGTCTCCTAGCTACTGCTTATAAGATCTTGAACATAGAACCATCACGGTAGGCGTCAATAAGTAATAGCAGATATTTTAAGTTATTTGGGGGACGCTATCGAAGGGAGGTTTATGCAATACAAATTCGAACAAGATAATAGTCTTTCAAATAGCTTACAGTGTCAGCATCCAACACAGCGCTAAGACATATGAAGTCTATGCCACTATTTTCCTAGACTTCTAGCACCGCCATACTTGGCTTAATGGGTGGAAGCTTTTGACATAGCATCTTCACTTGCACAGCGAAATATTACTTTGTATGCGACAGTTTACATTTAATTTTGAACCAACATTTGAAATTGTGGCTTAGAGTCCCACCTTGTACCAAACTTTGTTATAAAATGCGTGTTTCGTTCACCTCGATAAATCGATATTTCCCCAATCTCGTGGAAGATGGGTATTGTCCGAATTTTGTAACACGTATTTCTTTGCTCAGTAATTTTATCGCATTGCATTAGTATGTTCTCTTGACGCTTTTAACGCCAGTTATTCTCCATAAAACCACGTCACACCTCAAGGTAAAGATGGTACAAGGTTTACGGGCTAAAACAGGCTTGTCACCGCACTGTCTTGATCATCGGCGACATGAAACATTTAAGATGTTAGAGAGTGTTTCTCCCAAGCAAT